CAAACTATGCCTCAAGGAACCCCGTAGGTGTGCTAGCCTCCCATGGCATCCTCAGCCCAAGCAGCCCTGACTTTATTTTACTTTAACTTTTGCCTCCTTCGTAAGGTTGTATTTGAAGAAAGGATGATGGGGGTTAAAATAAAAATCGGGGATGGGGGAGGGTGTAGCTCAGTGGTAGAGGGTGTGCATAGCAAGCACAAGGTCCTGGGTTCAATCCCTAGGACCTCCATTAACAATAAATAAATAAAATCTAATAACCACCCCCCACAAAAAATTAAAAAATAAAAATTAGAATACCACTGGTTATCTCCCTTATTGTACAAAAGGGGAAACTGAGGCCCAGAGCCCTCTCTTGCCTAAGGTCTTGCCTAAGGCACAGACTTGCCTAAGGTTACACAGACATCTGAACAGTAAGGACCTGTCTCTTGGCCCTTGGTTGTGTGAGGAGCTGGAGCCAGTGTGGGAAACATCAGAGAAAAAGAAACACTGTCCAGAAGCCAGCGTCGTGCAGATGTCCCGTGTGAGCATTCTGGCCATGGGTGTGGGGTCCCCAAAAGCAGGCACCCTCCCTGGAGCCTCACTTTTCTTCAGCTCAGTTAGAATTTTTTTTAACGGTTTAACAAAATTCTTTAATAAAATTTATAGAAATGAATATTTAAGAATAGTATTTTTCAGCTTGAATTGTTTTCCTTTTCCACGCCCAAAGAAAATACAAAATTATCAGCACCCACACACACATACAACTCAAAACTATAGTGACGTTGTTTATATGGTCTCCAGCGGCCATCAGTGAGAGCATCACAGGGGGAGCCCAGCTCCCGGTACAACCTCGAGGGTCAGCTTCCAGGAACCCCCATCGGGGAGAGTTCCAGGTTCAGGAACTTCGGACCCACTGGGGAACACAGCGCTAGGCCGGGGCGAGTATCTATCAGGCAGGGATCCTGGAGGAAACAGATGCACCCTCAGGCTGATTAATGGAGGTGAGAGGTGTTTTTTCCCCAATTGTGCTAAAACACATATAACATGCAGTTTACCATTTTAACCATTTTTAAGTGTACAGTTTCAGTGACATTAAGTACATTCACCTTGTTGTGCAATCATCACCACCATCCATTTTCAGAACGTCTTCATCTTCTCCAACTGACTCTCTGTACCTATTAAACATAAATGCCACCCCAGCCCCTGGCAACCCCCATTCCACTTTTTGTCTCTTTGCATTTGCCTGTTCTAGGTAAGGAGGTGAGTTTTTAAAGGGACTGTTTATAAAGTAAAGGTGTGGGTAAGATTTAGGAAAAGCGACCAGGTGTGGGCAGTGGCCTGGGGCCATCACGTCTCTGAGAGGTGAAGGCTGGGAGCCCACAGGGGCTCAGGACCAGGAGGGAGGTGTGGAGGAGCAGCGGGAGGCAGTGAGCTCAAAAGAGAGCCTGGGGCAAGCCTCTGAGCTGTTTAAAGACACTAAAACCAAGCACAGAGGCAGCTACAAAATCAAAAGGCTCCTGTGCCAGTTTGCAGGAGGAGGACAATGGGAAGATGTGATGAGTTTCCATTCAGCAACTCCTCTTACTCAGCCATTTGCTGGCACGTTTATTTGGCTTTGTGGCAGATGATCTGCATGATGAGAGGTGCTCCCCTGCCCCCCAGTGTCGGATTCTTCATTCCAATCGGCCTTCGCCTCCCTGATTTCAGGACAGCAGCCTTGCTGACTTCTGTCTGCCCTGTTCTCCACTCTCCCAGAGGTGCAGAGGAACGTGGATGTTGCAGACAGATCAAGCAAAGTTGAGGAGGTATTTCCTGACTCAGCTCACCTATACCTGGGCTGTGGTGTCTTGGCTACACCACTGTGACTGACTTCTTGCTAAATACACATTTGATATCTCTCTCCTCTCATTCTTTTCTGTTTTCTTCATCCATCCTTGAATATTCTAGGCCCAGGACATCCATCTGAGAGCTCCCCTCACCCTCTGGAACCTGCTGCCCAGTGCCTTGCTGCATCCCTGAGATGATGGGTGAATTCCCACCTACTAGGTCTGGGGAGAAACCTCAGGAGATCCTAATCTCTTGCACCCCTGACTGTTTGGGGCAATGGGAGGGGGCGGTGCTCAGGAGGGAAGCAGTCCCTGTAAGAGCCAGGATCCCTGAGTTTCATCCTGTTCTCACCTTCTGCCTATGACATAAAAATTATCGTCTTCTGATGACTTTCTGGGAATTTTGCACACATTTATCAACTCATTTAATTACCGCAACAACCCTGCTCAGGAGGCTTTATTCCTGTTTTGTAGAGGAGAATTTTGAGGAGGAGAAAGGTCAAATGACTTATCAAAGGTTGCAGAGCTGTCTGTCACAGAGACATGAAGATCTGTCTCCCAAGCGCTTTTCAACCAGTTGTTTCCAACCAGTTCAGGAGGTAGTGAGTTCCTAGTCTCCAGAAGCATGTAAGTAAGCAGAGGCTGAATGGCCATCTTCATGGGGAGAGCATAGTCCAGGAGAAGTTTCCTTCCTGTCCTGAGACACTGATTCTAGAACTAGATCTAGGTTCTGATTTGGATTTTCTCTGACTGACGTGTACCTCTTGGGAAGCAGGTGCCTCCGTGAGGTCTGGTCACACGGAGAAGCAGGCATCCTGGATTGCAAGGGGGTGGGGAGAAGGGGCAGGAGAGCGGGGCACTTGGGAGTAATCAGGTAATAAGTTCTCTCTCCTTCCTGTTCTTGCTAGTTTTTCCCTGTTGCCCTGGGCTGGACTCTGAGTCCCAGATGGACAGCTTTTAAAAATACATTCAGCTCTGAACAGAAGTGTCACCAGGGTTGCGATGTGCTCTTTATATATTGTGAGGAAACAAGCCCAGGGCAGGCAGCAGGAGGGCTGGTTCTCATCCCGCTGCTGCAGCTTTGTGCTGTGACTCTGGGCAAGCTTCCGCATTGGCTTAAGGAGGGACAGGGGAGGCTCAGGGCCGAGGACCCTACAGGCGCTGATGCTCAGTCCTCGGGGACTGAAGTCCCCGGGAAGCAGGAGTGCCTGTGTGTTGAGCTCTGCAGGGTGTGGCCAGTATTGACTCAGTTTCCCCTGCTCTTGCCAGCCTCCAGGTTCCCATTCGAGCTACACTGCACCCAGACTGCTGACCCTCAGAAACCGAGTGAGATAATAAATGTGGTTTAAAGCTTCTTTGGGGGTAACTTGTTACGTCGCAATACATAAGGAAAGCACTCAGGCATGTGTGATCACACGGCAGAGATAGCCCTACTCACATGCCTGGTGGGTGGCTGGCTGGCTGATGGCCTGGGATTCTTCACATGGGGGCAGTCCCAGGCTCCCGCAGCGAGAGGGGCCAAACCCCAATGTGTAAGTGCTTTTTAAGCCTCTGCCTTGCACCACTTTTGCTAACAACGATCGACCAAAGTGAATCGCTCAGCCAGCTCAGATGCAAGCGGTGAGGAAACAGACTCCATCTATCTCCTGAAGGCTAGGGGAGAATTGTAATTGCCCCTTTTAGCAATTACAAAATATGAGGCTCCTGTACTAAATAGCCCTTCCTTGTCCGCTTCCTCACTGTTTTTTTAAAATTATTATTTTATTCTTTTTTTTTAAATTTTCTTTTCTTTTTTTTTCAAAGTTTTTTTTGGGGGGTGGGGTGGGGGAGGTAATGCTTCCTCACTCTTGAGCAGCCTCCCTTTTGCTAGACTCTGAGTCTGAATCAGCACTCACTGGGCACCCATGATGTGGCAGGTTTTTCACCATCATGGCCTGAGTTAATCCCTCACAACAGCCCCTGCAAGGTCACCCATCTTGTGGGTGAGGAACGGAGGTTCAGAGAGACAAGGTGGCCTGAAGTCATAAAGCTGGTAACTGGCAGAGCCAGGTTTCAATCCAGGTCTAGGAATTCCAAGTTTGACATTAGTTTTACTTTCCCTGTCAAGATGCCCAGAACTTTCCATTGAACTTGGTCTTTTCAGACAGACAGAGGCAGAATATGTGGAGACTGGCCCCCACTGGGTTCTCCCCAGGAATCCCTGTTCTGTGACAGCTGCTTGGGGCTGAAGAGGCTCAGTCTGGGGCAGGAAGTTTGGGCAAAATGAACAGACTCTAGGGGGCGACAGAGGCCAAGGCGCCTTCTCATTGCTACCCTGTGCTCATTCCCTTCTTCCTCAGAGGAGAGATGCTGGCCTTTGGGAGAGAAAACTGTCATTTCCAGGCACTAAGAAACCAGGGGAGAGAGGGGAGAAGGGAGAGAAGGGAGGGAGGGAAAGAAGAGAGAGAGGAGGACAGAGGAGGAGGGAGAAGAGATAGGCATAAGAAGGTAAAACTCAAGGGAAAATAATCCAAAAACAAAATTAAAGATCTATTGAGGCACAAGACAGAGAGAGACAGGGATAAAGAGAAAAGGGAGAGTGAGAGATAGAACAATAAACTCCTAAGACAGGGATGGAGATAGATAGAGGCAGGCAGAGACAGGGAGGCAGAGATGCCCAGAGAGATAAGGGAAACAGACTGAGAAGGGCTGAAGGCAGAGAGAAAGGAAGTCAGCAGAGGGGGAGATGGGGGAGGAGAGAGGGAGGAGAGGGGAGGAGGGTTAGCCATGCTGTGTGACCTCGGCTAGGTCAGGGCAGCTCTCTGAGCCCCATTTCCCCATATCCAAAAAAAAAAAAAAAGACTGTCTTATGGAGTAGTTGGAAGAATGATCTGAGTAAATACACATGAGGACTTTGGCAACTCTAAAGCACTATACAAACCGACATTGCTATTACTGAGAGTATTATCATGGGGGGAGAGCTTAATGCTAGAAAAGAGTGTCAGAACAGGGGACACATTTCACACTTCTGTAGTGAGCAGCTTCGTATCAAGGGGAAACTGGAGTTTCTTGATACTAAGACACTGCTCCATGTACGTTGCCCGAGTGATTTAAGTCCACTTTGGGTGGGGGGGGGTGTTGCCACAGTATCGGTACATAATTAAGAAAAGTAACTGGTAGCACACAATTGTTCCTACAACTGCTCACTTTGTTTTTCAGGATCACAATCAGTGTTTGAGTGCACACTGTGACGTCTATATGATACGCCGTAGAACCCCTTTAGGTCGTCAACAATTATGCAGAACATCTTGGTGACGGTAGTGCTTTTTTGCATCTCAGGTATGTGAATTTAATTTTTTAAAGATTAACAATATGATCTCAAGACATATCAAAGACTCTGGGTGTTCCATGTGGATTTCTGTTTTGGATAAACACACGGTTCCCCTCACTTATCCATAAACTGCATTGCATATTGCTGGAAGTTAAACAGCTTTTCTTGAAAGTTAGCTGGAAGCTTTTGACAGGTAGGTGTTTAGTGTCTATGTTATAGGACTTGATGGATCAATTTGTCAGACCCACCTCACACTACTGAGAAAATTCTCTGATTTACTTGGGAAGACTGGGCAATTTTTACTGCCAGTAACTGCACTGACTGGTGGGTGGCAGGCCATTTCTTGCATAAACAGTAACTTTTTTTTTTTTGCATTACCATGAAATCTTTTTGAAGACAATTAAAGCAGTAACTAGGGATCCAAATTTAAGTTAATAGCCAACTCTCTGTGTTATTTTCATTTTAAATCACACATCTGAAGTAACACTGCATAAACATGACAACTTACCTGAAAACTTGTTCCTTCTCTTGGAGGCAGACTCATTATTTTAATACACAGTCTCATTTCAGTAATTCTAAAGTGTTAAAGAAGAACAAATCTAGGAAATGTTAGTGGCTAAGAACAATGGAAAGGACCTGATAGAGCTTATTGATAGGAGAGGAAACCAAATGTTTTGAAAAGGTCCTGATTATATCTAATACATTGAAACAATTCAAAACTGATGCTTGCGATTCTTCTGCCTCATTTGAATAGATGAGATGCTATGCCTGCAATACTCACTGCTGCCACCAGGTGGTGGTAATGTCTTGAATGGCCTAAGTGAACTTTATCCATGCTGTCAACCATCAGAAATTCATGCACTGTATCTAGCCAATTACTGCCCTCCTCTTCCACCAAAATAAGTCTGATTTGAGTCACGGTTCTGGCACTTACTAGCTGTGTGGCCTTGTGTAAGTCAGCTTTCTCATCTGAAGGGAAGGGGAAAAAGTGCTTTCCAGGACTTAGGCATCTTTATATTTGTAGGACACTTCTCACCTTACCAAGGAACTTTAGACCGTCTACTCCTAGGTGCCTACACACCCTGGCATGAGGTTAATGTTCACAGTTCAGCTGTGAGCTGTGCAGGGCAGGGAGCATAATCTATAACTGATCCAGGCCCTTGCACTGGTACATGTGTCAATCTGTGCTTACATAGTAGTAGCAGCTACTATTGAGCATGTACTCAGTACCCATCTCAATACCAGGCCTTTTTTAATTAAAAAAATTTTATTGAAGTATAGTCAGTTTACAATGTGTTAACTTCTGGTGTATAGCATAGTGATTCAGTTATGTATATCTATATCTATATCTTTTCATATTCTTTTTCATTATAGGCTATTCACAAGTTATTGAATACAGTTCCCTGTATCCCTATACAGTAGGACCTTGTTGTTTATCTATTTTATATATAGTAGTTAGTATCTGCAAATCTCGAACTCCCAATTTATCCCTCCACCCCACCCTTTCCCTCTGGTAACCATAGTTTGTTTTCTAAGTCTGCGAGTCTGTTTCTGTTTCATAAATAAGTTCATTTGTGTCATTTTTTAGGTTCCACATATAAGTGATACCACATGGTATTTTTCTTTCTCTGACTTATTTAACTCAGTATGATGATATCCAGGTCTATCCATGTTGGTGTAAATGGCATAATTTTCCTTTTTCATGGCAGAATAGTATTCCATTGTGTGTGTGTGTGTGTGTGTGTGTGTGTGTGTGTGTGTGTGTGTGTGTGTGTATACTGCACTTCTTTTTCTAGTCATCTATTGATGGGCATTTAGATTGCTTCCATGTCTTGGCTATTGTAAATAGTGCTGCTATGAACACTGGGGTGCGTGTATCTTTTCAAATTAGAGTTCCCTCTGGATATATGCCCAGGGATGGCAGGATCATAGGGTAAATCTATTTTTAGTTTTTAAAGAATTCTCCATGCTGTTTTCCATAATGGCTGCACCAAACTACATTCCCACCAACAGTGTAGGAGGGTTCCCTTTTCTCCACACTCTCTCCAGCATTTATCCTTTGTGGGCTTTTTAATCATGGCCATTCTGACTGGTGTGAGGTGATACCTCATTGTAGTTTGATTTGCATTTCTTTGATAATTAGCGATATTGAGCATTTTTTCATGTGCATATTGTCCATTTGTCAAAACCAGTTCTTTTAATCCTCGCAGCAACCCTATGAGGTCAGTATCATTGCTATGCCCATTTCAGAGGAGGAAATCCCCCGGGTTGTGCCAAGATTAAATAACTTAATGCATAAAACTTGCTAGCACAGCGCCTAGGACATAGCAAGCGCTCAGTATTTATGGTGCTTATTATTTGCAGGTGAGGGGGTCAGGCCTGTAAACTGAGAAGTATAAAGCAGCGAAGTACAAGGGGCTGTAGAAGCACAAAGGAAGAGACAATTAATTCTTCTTGGGAAGCGGTCCAGGAAGGCTTTGTGAGGAGGCCTCTGGATGGCACGTAGGGATGGCTGAGTATGTTGCTTAATTTCCCAGTTCTGCTTTCTCCTCTCCCTTTTAATAATAGGAATACCCCTCCCCGTGAAGTTGCCTGCCACCACTTCTCATGGCTGGACTGAGGATGGGGTGTGGGGAGACTAGTTTTGGCCATGAAGGGATGGCAGAGCAACAAAATAGAAGGAACCTGGGTCTCTGGGTGGCCTTGGAGAGCACGGCTGTCCCACTCACTTTGGACCAAATGCCTATCTCCAAACCACTGCCCAGCTGAGACATAAACCTCTATCCTGTTTGAACCACTGTATCGTTGGCTCTCTTATCTAAAGCCTATTATTTAGTTTGAAGACTAAATAGTGCACCAGGTGCAAACAGAGGAATACTTGTAGGGCGGAAGACAAGCATGTCCAAAAATATGAAATATGAAAGAAGTTAGAAAATTTTAGAAACCTATCTCATGATTTTTGAGGATCAAGTGAGATGAATGTATATAAAGTGCTTAGTACAGTACCTGGCACATACTAAGTGCTTAACAAATGAAAGTCATACTTTTTCCACTTGATGTAAATGACTTCTCAGAGTCTCAGCTATAAAATGGGGGGTAGTGTCACCTGTATGTTGAAAACAAAGGTCTGGGCCTTTCTGTCCTAAGAGAGGATGAATGAAGTGGAGAAATGGTAATTGGGAGCAAGATTTCAAAGAAAAACAATTATCTAGGGAGGAAGGAGCACCCTCCCTTCCGAATGATTTAAATAATTTAACTTAACCAAACCTGTGGTGCTCACCCAGCACTCAGCCCTAGTTAACACCTGTCCTGCTCAGGGGGCCCTAAAAATGACTAGCAGTTCCTGGGAGGAGTTCTGGATGATCAGTGCTCCGCACCTTTCCTAAGTCTCTCTGTTCTTTCTCCTCCAAGGTGACTCCTTTTCTTCACCTCACAAGACAGCACAAACATCACGTCTGTTGAGAACTACCTTCACCTTCTGGGCAATGGGCCTGATTCTCTGTGCGTAACGAGCATCTCCATCACGGCTTTAGACTCATTATTGGTTCAGGTGCCCTTTTCCCCTGCTGGGTTGTGAGCTCCTCCAGGGCAGGGAACATGAGTTTGTTTCCTCAGCATCCAGCCTGAGCAGGAGCTCCATTCACTGTCGTTGAATAAATGAGGTGTTCTTGGGTAAATATGGAGAGTTAGTTGGTGGGGGTGTGTGTAGATTTTAGGGATGTTTGTGAGAAAGTGAGATGTGGGAATAAAACCCAAAAAACCATTTCTCACCCATAAAATGACGACTGAACTTGGCTATTTAGGCATTGTTACTCCTTCTTTTAGTCTTCCTCACATGCTGTTTCCTGGTGTGAGGAGCCTGCTGGCGGGGAGTCTAAGAGGTGGTTTGGAGAAGAGAATGCCAACCTGGTCGCCAGACCTACGCTCTCATCACAGCTCTGCACTGACCTGCTGAATAAACTTGGGAGAAGGGCCTTTTTCTCTGGGTTCTCTGGGGTTCGATTTCCTCAGCTGTAAAATGAGGCAATGAAACCCATCTCACAATAGTGTTGCGAGAATTAAGTGTATAATAGCAGCTCATAGGCTTTTATAGAGATATTAGTGCTACTCACCATGCCCCTTAAGTTGCCGCCTGTCTCTGCCTTCTCCCTGTGAATTCCAGATTGTATGCTGATCAAGAGTGTGGCATTTTGAACCAAACTGTCTAGGTTATCCGCCACTTAATAGCTGTTGAATTTTAAAAAGACAGTTCACTTCTCTGGGTCTACTGTTCTCATCTGCAAAATGACCTTAAGTATTGACCTTAAAGGATTTCTGTAAATATTAAATAAGCATTATTTTATTTTATTATTTTATTTATGTTTCTAATATTTCATTATTATCTATAATATCTATTATAAATATTATATATATAATATAACTCCCTCCATCAGATCTTAACTTGGGATTCTGCCTACTGGATTCACAAGGAACCTGCTGCTAAACACCAGTGAAAGAACTCAAGTTTGCAAATGATTTTCTTTTTCTTTGAAGAAATCCAGGGGAATTCCAGGTCACCTCTCTAAAATAATGCCCTTCAAACAACTCCCTGCCTTTTGCAATGCTTGCTTGGGCATCAGGAGTAGGCGTCGGGGAGCCCTGAGTGTGCACCACACCAAGCCTTGCAGCCTGGGTTACCTGCTGCAGCCCCTCCCTCTGGGCCCTCCTGAGGCAGTGAACCATCTCTTTGTTTGTATTGAGGGAGAAAAATGGCTGAGAACTCCTGGAATGGAGAATGCAAATCCCCAGATAATCCCAAATTCCATATTCGCCAGTAATTTTCACTTCCCCCTCTGCAGCTGAAACTTTACCAGAGCTTCCTGAACGGGGAAGCTTGCCTTTTCCATGCAAGGACATCAGCGAGTACATTCCCTGGCACCAGGTGGGGACCCGGGCGGGAACTATCTGTGGCATGGACTGACAGGACAGGCTCACTGCAGTACTGAATGCGGCATGAGTCACTGCAGACTGGGCTACACAATATGCATTGTCTCATTTCATCTGTACCAGAACCCAAGGAGATGGGGATTGTTATACCCATTATACAGATGAGGAAACGGATTCTCAGAGAGGCTAGCTAGCCTAGCCATGGCAGTGGCAGGGTCGGAAAACTGTGCAAAGTTTGGAAAACATAGGGCCAGTTAGAAAGGGCAGAGGATTTCAGGGATGTTAGAGAGTCAGATATAAAAAAAAGGGAACGTTTCCCATCCACACAATGATGCCAAAACTTTGACATTTAGACATCATTATAGGGAAAAGAAAAGGCAGTTTGGCAGAATGGAAATTATCTAGTTTAGGAAAGAGGAGGTCAGGCTTCTCTCTAATCTTGCTCAGGATTCATCTGTGTGATCCTCTTAAGTGTCTTTCCTCCCTGAGCCTTAGATTCGGCCATTCCGTTTCCTGGCTTCTAGGAATCTGAGTCCTCTTAGTTTTGCTCCGGTCACTCTGAGATTCCCAGGGCCCCATGGGTCTGGTGGAGAGGATGGCCTGGCTCTCTCAAGCACCCAAAGGATGCTTACTTTCCGTGACCCAGAGATGGCGCTGAGCACCGGCTACTGTCCCTCCCCTTCCTCTTCTTCCTCGCCATCCTTCCCCCTCCTTCCCCCGGTCGTCCTCCCCTTCTTCCGTGCCTCTTCCTCCTTCCTCCCCTCGCTCCTCCCTCCCCCCTTCCCTGCGATCGGCCGCCGGGGCGCGGGCCGGGCGCGCGCTGGGTGGTCCGGCAGCCGGGGGGGCGGTAGCCTGCAGGCGTAATTGGCATGCACGCCGTTGTAGCTGAGACCGCTTAATAAAGCATTACATATCTCACCGCTTCCATATTTCATTACCTCACGCGGAGCCTGTGAGAGGGCCCTAATGGGAGTCAGCTGTGTTTTTACTTTCTGTTGCCGGCCCGGGACGGGTTTCTCTGCGGATTCTTTGAAATGAAATAATGTGATGCACGCCGCGATAAGGGCGGCCCCGTAATGAGGCCCAGGCCAGGGGCGGCTGCTATTGCTCCAGGTGTCGCGGATTTGGGCCCCGAAGACGACGAGGAGGAGGGGGCGGCGCCGAGGAGGAAGGAGAGGGGAAGACGGTGGGGGAGGAGGGGAGGGAGGAGACAGGAGGGGAAGGATGGGGGCGGGGGCAGTGGGGCAGGGGGCCGGGGGAAGCCAGGGAAGGCGGAGGTAGCTTGGGGATGCCCCAGAATGAGACAGATTCAGGGAGAGGTAGGCTGGAGAGTCCTAGGGGCCCAGCTTCATGTTCTGATTGGCCCCTAGCTGACAGTATGAGAGAGCCTTTTGCCCCATAATAGTCACCTCACAGTGGTGGTGTGCTGAAAAAAATGAAAGGGATTTGTAAATTGTAAAGGGCAGCATCACACACATGGAAAAAATGGAATCATTTATTGAGAAAGGATCGGATGCCTTTTGAGCAGCCCTTCTGGGTATGGCACCTGCCAACAATTTCAGCAGCATTGCTTGCTAAGTACTATTAACTTCCCTTTGTAGAAGAAGAGACTGAGGGTCAGAGAGGTGAGGGACTGGCTCCAAGGCACTTAGTAAGAGGCTGAGGGCAGCCCTGGGCATGGATCCAGAGGAGGCAGGAAGAAAGGGGGAAGGAGATAAAGCTGGAGGAAAGTTGGACCACTGCCATGTGATTTGTCCACCCCCTCCCCGCTAAGGGAGCCGGCTTTCTCCTCCATCCTGTCCTGTGGGCTTCCTTGACTGGGCCTGTGTATGGCCTTTGCCTTCCTTACTGGGATGGAGAAGGGTGGGCAGGCTGGGATGTGGTGGAAGGCTTTGTAGGTAGGACAGCTGCTGGGCTTGAAGGCTGGGGCCTCAGGAAGCCCCTCTGTTCTGAGTACTCTCCTCCTGAAAATCCCACAGCTACAGTCCTTTGAGTTAAAAGGGGGCTCCTTGTGCTTTAGCCAGCCAGACTGAAAAATCATCACAAGTGTTTCCTTCTTCTGCGTCTACTCGGTCTCTATCTCTCTTTTCTCCTCTAAAAAGTAAATACTCTTTGAGGAGTTTTGCTGCATCTCCTCAGTGTCTCTCAAATCCACCCACCTCTGGTTTCATGGGTCAAGCCAGCAGTCTTGCTCTAGCCCTGGAGACTCTTCGTAAAATGCTGCCCTTCAGGGCTCCCATTTGCTCTCAAGATGTCCAGCTTCCCAGAGC